CCCAAACACCTCACCCAGACGCTGCTGGGGGTCAGGTCTTAGGCAGAAGGTTCTGCTGCAGTCACTTCGAGACCTTCTTCGATCGTGCTCTGCAACCTTTTCTACGGCTTGGTGGCTCCTGGGTAGAGGCGGGAATGCTACACTCACCTTCACGGCGCAACTAAACCGTCCTGTCTTCATTTCTGAACTTCCCATCGAGGCCTGGAATTGGGTGGATGTCAAAATTATGGTCCCGTTTTGGGGGTACCCTAAACAATAGGTCTAGGTGCCGTACTATATTAGGGACCGAAAAAGGGGCCATGATTTTGCTCTGTCTGCGGTCTTGCCTATAGTCTCCATTGTAGTTCCATTTTCGGTTAACCAAAATCCCTATTGCAGGATCCTAGCCCTAAAACTGGTTAACCAAAAAAGGAACTACACTGGAGACTATAGGTGGTTTTCAACTTGGAGCCAGGAGTGGCTTAGGGCCCCCTGAAACTTCCACGAAGCTAGGAACAGCCAGCAGCTCCCCTAAAATCCGAATCACATGCTTTAAGGGCCGTAGAAATTAATTCGAGCAGAGTTATACTACAATGACAATTTGTCAGGAAGCATATGGAAAAAGGTCAACACTTGTTTATGCTTCTATGCTGCCCAGTTGCCTTCTGCTGGTTTGGCAGGAAAAGCCGCTGAACCTCAGTCGAAATTCTACGAGCTTTCGTGGACCCCAGTTTGCCCAATAAAAAAATTAACTTTTGGGGTTGTATGAGGATTTTATCGAACCTAAGAGGCTCTGAAACTCATGAAGAAATCCAGAGAATCGAATCTGAGCTGTTCAGGAACGTATTCCCAAGTCGTTCCTGGACTCATCCTCAACCCCCCAACTCCAAGCTCTTGACCCCAAACCCTCACGTCCTACTATAGGGGCCTTAATAATTAGACTAGGGTTGCGGGTGCCCCCCAAGACCCTATCCCAAATTAAGGCCCCTGCCCGGGCCCCTACTCATAGGGAGCCTTAGTGGGGTAGAGGGGAGGGGGGGGGACCATAGTTCCTTTTAAAAAAGCCTTATGAAGTCCTTGTTTAAGGCATTAACGCCCCCTCCCCCCTCCCCCCTACCTCCATAAGGGTCCTTATGATGTAAGGGCTACTATAGTTCCTGTAAGGGTTACGATATAATAAGGCTTCCTTTGAGGGTTACTATAACATGAGGACCCTACTGGTCCTATGACCTACCCTACCCCTAAACTCTAAACCCTAAGCACTAAACCCTAAGCCCTAAACCCTGCGCCCTAAACCCTAAACCGTAAACCCTTAACCCTAAACTCTAAACTCTAAACCCTAAACCCTAAACCCTAAGCCCTAAAGCCTAAGCCCTAAACCCTAAACCCTAAACCTTAAACCCTAAACCCTAAATCCTAAGCCCTAAACCCTAAGCCCTAAAGCCTAAACCCTAAACCCTAAACCCTAAACCTTAAACCCTAAACCCTAAATCCTAAGCCCTAAACCCTATAACCTAAGTCCGAAGCTCTGAGCCTGAACCTTGTTCTCTAGACTGTTGGAAAGCTGGATAATTACTTTCCCTAAAGCCGACACTGCAAGACCAAAACTCAATGAAAGCCCCTGAAGGACGAACCTGGTTCCTCCAAGCCTAAACCCGACATAATCTTTAGGACCACTTCATACTTCGCTGCATCCGAAGAACCGCTTCCGTGCTCAGCTCTCCTCCGTAGACCAACTCCTCTCAGGAAATGGCGAATAAGTAGCACCCAGGCAACGAGTGATTTCGAGCGGACCTTGAACACCCGGTTGATGCACCGCAAAATCCTACATCTTGGCTGACTTCCGAACCCCTCCTAGGGAAGAGTTAAGGTCCTACGCGGGGTCCATGTACCCGGACAATATAGATATTTACGCCACCAAAAATATTGACTACTTTAAGACTTCAAGGCCAAAGTGTGTACTGTTTGGGTACATGGACCCTTGGAGTCCTAACGGCCGACAAGAACAGAGCCAAGGAAAATGCGCGCCGCAGGTTTCCAAAGGCTTCAGGGAAGTCGGGCTTAGGGGCTTTAGGGGTTTAGGGGCAAACTTAGGGCTTAGGGACTAAATATTTAGTTTATGTATATAAGGGCTAAGGTGCTTAGAGTTTAGGGAGAGAGCACAGGTTTAGGGCAGCCTCATAAAGATTCCCTTGCAGGGTTCCTTCAAAGGCTCTTTAGGGAGATAGTGACTTAGTGAGACCAAAGTCTTCGAGCTGTGCTGACAATGCTGCACCAGATTTCGTGCGGAGCCTTGAGTTGACCAATGCAAGCACGGAGCGTGCCACGCCGACGGTTGAGTGTTCTCGTTGAAACTCCTAGCCCCATTCGAGCTGTAGACCTACGCATCTTACTTACAACTGAAACAACTATGAAAACATTAGCCATCAAGTAACCTATGTCACATTAAAGCCGACCAACCCCCCCAAAACCCTAATACCCTGAACCCCTAACGCCTAAATCCTAAACCCTAAACACTCAACCCCAAAACCCTCTCTCTGTGTGCGTACTTACAACATATATATATATATATATATACACATATACATATGCAAATATGTACATAAGTATATTATATATATACACACATACACATACAGTGGAATACTTGTTCATATTAAATTCATATCAACCCCTAAATCCTCAACAGAAAAACCGACGCTCTGCTCTCCTCCAAGGCTTCGAAGTCCAGACTTCGGCCATCAAAGGCCGGCCAACGTTGAACGGGCATGGCAAGCTCCTGGGATTCAAAGTTTAGGGTTTAGGGGTTTAGGGGTTTGTGTGTAGGACCTTTATGTATAGTGTGTGGATTGCTGGTGGGGCCTTTAGCACATTATAAGTTTATACGGTTTTATACCGCTTTCACGGTTTATACGTTTTTTCACGGTTTTGGGTTTGCGCCCCTGAGCTACAAAACCGTATAAAACCGTGAAAAACCGTAAAAAACCGTATAGTCGGCAGAAGCTTCCCCAGGCCGTCGATCCCCAAACCGTAAAAAACCGTATAAACCACATAAACAGTAAAAGCTTTTTACGGTTTATACCGTTTATACGGTTTTTCACGGTTATGGCGAACCCCAGCCTCTGAGCCATTAAACCGTAAAAAACAGTGAAACACCGTAAAAAAACGTATAAAACCGTATAGTCGGCAGAAGCTTCCCCCAGGCCGTCAATCCCAAAACCGTAAAAAACGTATAAACCGTATAAACCACATAAACAGCAAAAGCTTTTTACGGTTTATACCGTTTATACGGTTTTTCACGGTTTTGGGTTTGCTCTGAGCCACAAAACCGTAAAAAACAGTGAATAACCGTATAAAACCGTATAGTCTGCAGAAGCTTCCCCCAGGCCGTCGATCCCAAAACCGTAAAAAACCGTATAAACCACATGAGCAGTAAAAGCTTTTTACGGTTTATACCGTTTATACGGTTTATATGTTTTTTCACGGTTTTGGGTCTGGCCGGCTCCGAACCCCAGCCTCTGAGCCACAAAACCGTAAAAAACAGTGAAAAACCGTAAAAACCGTATAGTCGGCGAAGCTTCCCCCAGGCCGTCGATCCCAAAACCGTAAAAAACCGTATAAACCGTATAAACCACATAAACAGTAAAAGCTTTTTACGGTTTATAACGTTTATACGGTTTATACGGTTTTTCACGGTTTTGCGTCTGGCCGGCTCCGAACCACAGCCTCTGAGCCACAAAACCGCAAAAAACCGTGAATCACCGTAAAAAAAACGTATAAAACCGTATAGTCGGCAGAAGCTTCCCCCAGGCCGTCGATCCCAAAACCGTAAAAAACCGTATAAACCGTATAAACCACATAAACAGTAAACGCTGTTTACGGTTAATACCGCTTGTACGGTTTATACGGTTTTTCACGGTTTTGGGTCTGCCCGGGTCCGAACCCCAGCCTCTGAGCCACAAAACCGTAAAAAACAGTAAAACACCGTGAAAAACCGTATAAAACCGTATAGTCGGCAGAAGCTTCCCCCAGGCCGTCGATCCCAAAACCGTAAAAAACCGTATAAACCGTATAAACCGTATAAACCACATAAACAGTAAAAGCTTTTTACGGTTTATACCGCTTATACCGTTTATACGGTTTTTCACGGTTTTGGGTCTGCCCGGGTCCGAACCCCAGCCTCTGAGCCACAAAACCGTCAAAAACCGTGAAAAAACGTAAACAACCGTATAAAACCGTACAGTCGGCAGGAGCTTCCCCCAGGCCGTCGATCCCAAAACAGCAAAAAACCGTATAAACCACATAAACAGTAAAAGCTTTTTACGGTTTATACCGTTTATACGGTTTTTCACGGTTTTGGGTCTGGCCGGCTCCGAACCCCAGCCTCTGAGCCACAAAACCGTAAAAAACAGTGAAAAACCGTAAAAACCGTATAAAACCGTATAGTCGGCGAAGCTTCCCCCAGGCCGTCGATCCCAAAACCGTAAAAAACCGTATAAACCGTATAAACCACATAAACAGTAAAAGCTTTTTACGGTTTATAACGTTTATACGGTTTATACGGTTTTTCACGGTTTTGCGTCTGGCCGGCTCCGAACCACAGCCTCTGAGCCACAAAACCGCAAAAAACCGTGAATCACCGTAAAAAACCGTATAAAACCGTATAGTCGGCAGAAGCTTCCCCCAGGCCGTCAATCCCAAAACCGTAAAAATACGTATAAACCGTATAAACCACATAAACAGCAAAAGCTTTTTACGGTTTATACTTTTTATACGGTTTTCACGGTTTTGGGTCTGCTCTGAGCCACAAAACCGTAAAAAACCGTAAAAAACCGTATAAAACCGTATAGTCGGCAGAAGCTTCCCCCAGGCCGTCGATCCCAAAACCGTAAAAAACCGTATAAACCGTATAAACCACATAAACAGTAAAAGCTTTTTACGGTTTATACCGCTTATACCGTTTATATGGTTTTTCACGGTTTTGGGTCTGCCCGGGTCCGAACCCCAGCCTCTGAGCCACA